TGTGTGTGTGTGTGTGTGTGTGTGTGTGTGTGTGTGTGTGTGTGTGTCTGTGTGCGCGTGTGTGTGTAGGAGCTAGGAAATGAGAGAGGTGCTTCCCAGTTCCCCGAAAACAAAAGACTGCAAAAGAAAAAAGTAGACCAGTTTCCAGACACAAACCTGCAGAGGACACAGCCGCCGCCGATATTGTCAAGCTCATTCAGAATACGGCGACATCGTGCCAGCACGCCATCTTTCTCGGCAAACCCTTCACCGCCGACCTTTGACGTTCTCTTTTGCACCCCACCCGCTTTCCCTGCCGTGTCCAGTCCACCTGACCTGATGCTCTGGCAAGGGGGACAGTACCAGTCTCCACTTGGGATGTTGACCAGCCCCACACATTCTGCAGAGATCAACAAAAAGAGAGGAATCCGGAACACCTCTGTCAGAGAAAGCACACTAGGATCACAGGCAGACCAACGGGGAAGAAAGGAAAACAATCTTTCAGCGCCGCAAAAGAAACAATCAATACCATTTCCGAATACCCTATCTCCAAACACTACCGGTAGCCATTCATACATGACGTAGCCACTTCCACTCTCCTTAACGTTTTCCACCAGACAGCAAGGGGTCAACAAATATATATAAATCAAACACCCGACAGAGTAGACATTTTACTGTGATGAACAGGGTGAGGGTGACGGTGAGGGATATCTACTAAAACCTTTCTCCGCTCACCCTTGCGTAAAGAGCTTTTTCCTCTCACCATTGATTAAGGAACGGTATGTAAGAGACACTGTGTTACGCTACGTGTCTGCTGGACAGATAGAAAGGGTGTAGACACACTTTCTTCTCCCACTCTACTCTCTCAGTCACCGCAACTAAGCGCTCACAAAAGAGGTCGGTTCCTTTAGAAAAGCACTCCGAAATGCAACCCCCTGAACTGTAACACTGCCCAAGTGCCTGCCAGTGAAAGGTAAACCCAAGAGAATGATGACGGCAAGAATAATAAGTCGACAACCATGTGGATGGCGCTCGTGAAAAAGACGATCACGACGACGATGATGGCGATTGTGTGACAACGACGACGACGACGATGATGACGACGATGGACGAGAATGATGCTGATGATGATGATGATGATGATAAGCTACAGCTAGCCCATTGGCAAGGTGCATGGATTCTTACCGTCTAGCCGCCGGAACTTCACATCTTCACGGAGAATCCGAGTTCACTGAGCCCAGGTCGGAGACAGTGGCGCAGTGTGTCAGTCCATGGCAAGGCTCCAGACAGTGAGAACCATGACATAACCAGCACTAACTTTGCTGAAAATTCGTAACTGGTTTCACCTTGCAGAACATTCTTTTTGTGCTTAGTTTAATAACTTTTACAGTTTTACAGCACAGTGCATACTAGTTTTTAATACTTTAATAAATTAAGTCTTTTATGGTTTTATTAAATTAAATTATTTTTTCATTTAATGCAGCTGAAAAAGGGAATGGTGCAAGAAAAAAAGAAAGAAAGGAAGGAAGCAAGAAAGGAAGGATGGAAGGGAGGGAGGGAGGGAGGGAGGAAGGGAGGGAGGGAGGTCCAAATCCTGAAGAAATTGAAAAGCAGCACGTGTGACAACTAAAACCACCCTGACCATGAGCGCTATTGAAACCAAAGGTCTGCCAAGCATCATCACTCTTCAAGGTCGATCTTCATGCCTGTCTCCCCTTTGCAGGAGAGCTCAATAGTACAAGAAGACATCTGAAACCGTCACTCTCTCTATGAGCATGTAACCTAGATCGTGCTGATATACGAGGAGCTGGGATGTGGTACCGGCCCAGACTAGGGCCAGGGCAACCACGGGGAAAAAAAAACTGCCACCGAAGACCCCTCCCCAACGTCAAAGCCCGTACTTCTACCAAAGATCGGACTCGATGCGTGCTTGCCACTAAGGCCAAAGGTTTTGCAGGCCAGTGTGCGTCACTCAGAATACAGGTTCAAGTTTGACTAGAAGGAGATTCCGGGGTGTAGCGGATTCGAGTGTCAAATGCGGTTTCACCCTCCAAACAAAGCACTTTTTTTTTTCTCTAGAGATGTACGCATCCCATACGTATATCGTTCTTTATTCATATACCCTCTCTTCTCCGCACATCCCTCCTCCGCACAGCATTTTGAGCAGGTTTAAAATGATGCATGGCCAGTACACTTACACCATACTTGCAGCTGTATCATGCACACTTCCTGATATATCATATACTCAGCTATTACTCGCAGTTTAATCATTTACTTGCAATTACACCATAGTTATGTGTTTCGGGCTGCGAGCCGGGTGTTGAAGAGTGTTTCACTGCCTGGTGGACCAAATACAGGTGCAGCGGCTGCAGTGCACCAAAACATTTACCTACAGAAAAAAAAAAAAGAAAAAAAAAAAACTTGAAAAGGAAAAGATTGAATAAAACAACGAGCTTGACAACCTTCAAAGTAGTCCAAAAAATGCTCAAAATTTTAAAGAAATCCAAAACTTTTCACTTTCTTACTTTTCATAATATTCACCCAATGAGATTTTCAACGATTGCACCAGCCAAACGTTGTTTCTTCAATTCTTTCTGAAAAAGAAACACCTGGGGTGATGTTCAGGACCCCGCAACACCATATGCAGTGTAAACAATGAAGTGCAGACTGTGAACAGCAAGTGCACACAAAGGCCTGGCGTGCTGCAACTACAGAGTACATAGTTCCCCCCCCCCCTTGCAATTGGCAGTGAGCCCCTGGCAGCATTGTATCCAATGAGGACTTGAACAGATGGATTGTTCATCAACAGCCAGATGTCTCTGTCCTGGTGAACAACTCGGCCACAAGGCTAGGTGTTGGTTTTACATTTTGTCATTTACTTATTTTATTTTATTTGTTGAAATGCCGTTTATCCGTAACACAGTCCATTCAAGTTGGCACAATGTGTATTCCATTTGAGCACATGCTCGGCCTGTTTTTTTTTGTTGTTGTTGTTTTTCCTAGAAAAAGAGAGACGGCCTGGAGATATCATCATCGAACTGACCAGTCCTTGGTAATTCAGAATTCTAGAATTTCTCGTGTTTCACTCATCTGCTTCCAGTGGACTTCGACTCGGTCTATATTAACCAGCTCAGGGGTGTACCAACTGAGCTACGCCAGTTGGTCACTGCGACTTTTACAATTGCAGTCCGATACATTCAGTACTGTCCGTAACTGCGATCAGATCCATCCGGGAAAGCCCTCGTGTGAGTATGCCCTGATATGAGTTTGCTCGAACTCGACTACAGAGACAGCTGAGGAGGGAGAAGTTCAAGAGTCGAGACTCGGGACCAAACCCGTGTGTTCAGTAGTCATTTCACACCGGGCGGTGGTCCCCATCTTGAGTTCGACAATTTGGGTGTCGCGAACAATGCGATTCGGTAAATAAAAATGTAAGTTGTGTTCATCTCGTTGAGCACTACACTAGTCCAGTGTCTCCTTCGCTATCGCCCCTTCAATGCTCGATGTCGTACTGGAAGGACTAAAGCAAGGCTCAGCGATCTGAACCTTCTCCTCAAATTTCTGGACATCAACAAATTTCACCCCCCACACCTCTATAGGAGGAGCAAGGCGCTAAGTGTATTCACACCAAAGCTAACTCGGAGTTTTTTTTTTTCCCACGAAGCATCGGACTGGTACAGGTGAATTAGTCGCGAAGCGGCGAAAGTCGCAAGCTGCATAGCAATGTGTTCTCGTTCGGAGGCGAACGCAAACATGTTCTCGCCCGAACGCAAATGAGTGCCCAAAACCCTAAGAACGCGAACACAAAAAATAAAATAAAATTAAAAAACTCAGGAAAACCTGAAATAAAGATAAGTCATGTAAAACAGCAATACAAGCATTTTGCCCCGGAGTAATGTTCAAATTCGTAGCCAAACTTGAGTTAAAAATCGAATATCGAAAGAAAAGAGTTTTTTTTCCCTTTTACAACACGTTCGCGAGCTGTTCGCGCGAACGGGGAGGGGCGCGAACACATTCGCCGTGCTACGCAGGTCGCTAGCTCCGGCTTTAAAAAAGAATAGACCACAGATACGTTCCGGACATTGTTATGATCTTTCTGAACATTAACTCATTTACGCCCCCCCCCCCAACCACCACCACCTGTACAGGAGGAGCAAGGCACTAACTCCATTCACACAAAGGCTAAGGGCCTTGCTGCATCACTCGGCAAACTCCAACATTCTGAATGAATGTGAACATGGAATTGGTCTTGATACGTTCAGAATGTTATGCTGCGAGGCCCAACGTCCATTCAGACTGGCACACTGAACCATATCCATCAATCCATACCGGCTCTGCTCCTTGAATATGACTTCCAAAATCCAACTTTTATCAGAAGTGTAAATTAACAATCGAGGAATGTCGTTAGAGGGAAAAAAAAAAAAAAAAAAAAAAACATAGATGAATGCCATTGACATTGATTCAACTGCAAAGGGTCAGGCCACATTACAATGGAGCCCGAGTTGACTAAGGGCGTACTCACAGTCCAAGCTTTTCCACCGAATCTGACCACAATGATGGGCAGGTTCAGTTGAAAAGGTCCATTAAACAAACTTGCGAAAGTTACAGTCATGCCTCGCACTCCCGACCTTCCTGACCGAATCTGACCACAAAGATGGGCCAAATACTCGCACTCTGACCTTCCTGACCGAATCCGACCACAAAGATGGGCCAAATCAGTTGAAAAGGTCCGAATGTGAGTATGGTCAACGAAGCCATATGACAGCGAAAACGCAAATCAACCATCTCACCACGTCCACACTGGATGACACGAGAGCCTACCGTCTTCACCCTAATAGAACGCTGGGTAATAATGGCCACATCTGGACTGGGATTTGCACCAAAAATACAGCTATAATGACCAGGCGCTCTATTCGGGAGCATCCTGGAAAGGTTAGGACACTTCTTACTGGGAAAGGTGGGTAAAAAGGCATGGACATTTGGAAACTGTAAATCAGGCAGAGACGATACCTGGATGGAATGCAGCAGGACAGTTGTCGCATAGCACAAGGTTTCCGCCATCTCCGCACTCCAAGCAGCAGTCTGCACTCCCATCCAATGCCGCGTCACCAACACAGCCTTCCTTATCCACAAGTCCTGTGTTTCCTTCCATGGCCTTGGCTGCTTCTCGAAGAGACCTACCATCAGGTAGGTAGATGCTCGTGTACCTGCAATAAATTCGGCTCCCAAATCAGGTACTATCAGGTAGGTAGATGCTCATGTATCATCTTCTTTTTTTTTTTTTTCTTTTTTTTTTTTTTAAGAAAAGCACAACAGCCCCTTCCATTCTGGGGGGCAACAGTCCGGTTGCTTGTCACCGGCAAGCATGGGGGGGGATCAGACCAGAGAAGGGGAACGGCCTGACCCTTGGGGTACCAGTCACCTAGCAAGGGGGCAGCTGCACCATGGCCTTTCTCCGAGGGCCACCCTGCTGGCCGGGAGGCTTGCTGGCAGCACCTGGACACGCAGCACGATGGCCCTCACGGAGGCAGGGGCCTCCCCTACAGATCCTCAGGCCGCCTATCAAGGCCCACACATCACTAGGTCATCACTTTCCAACTTTGTCCACCTTTGTCCTACTCTCATCCTGTCAATCCTGTCCTGTCTAACCTGCCTTTAACAGCACTCTACAACACTCTTGTCCCTCGTACCTTTGTTTTGGCTAGCTCCATGTCTCCTTACTATCTCTATGTCCCTTGCTCCCTGATTCCTATCTGGGTAGTTCCATGCATCCTTGTGCGGTCTTATATGACTCAACATCATTGTCCATCCCAAGAGTAGTGTTATGGTCACCCCAGCACCTGCTAACAACCCCTGTAGCTTTCAATGTTCTTCTACTCTTTTAGTGTTTTCCAATGCTTTCACCCCTCCCTCCCCGCACCCTCCCT